TATTAAAGTGCTAAACATGAATAGCTTTAATTATATCTCTAGCTTTGATGGATGCTTTAATGTCCCTAGGTGGATTCTGGGTTTTGCTGACACAATGCTAGGGACATTGAGAAACAGGAAATGGTCATTTACCAAATTTAAAAAAAAAATCCTTTTGCTGTAAAATATTTCTCTTTATACTGATACCTCTTGTTCTTCTGTTGACCTTCCTTAACCCCTAAGAAATCATGGAAATTTTAAGATAACAGTACAATGACTATGGGTTGAAGCAAAGCTAAATTGGACCCAAGTCAGCTTGGCGAATTGTCAAGCTGTTTTTGTATTTATTTCTTTCAACTTTAACATTGACAATTTATTAAGTGAGACTGTGTATCAAAGCGGAAGCTGAGAATCCTGTTTGGACACCGTTTAGGAAGGAAACCAGGTCTTTATGGGGCACCCCCTTCCTCTTAGCCGCTGGCCAGGAAAACCATCTTTCTGTATAAAACCTATTCAGTCTGAGAGAGGTGGGGTCGCTTTGGGAAGGAAGATGACCTCTCCCTTGTAAAGTGGAATTGCTCTGTTTCCCCCATGACTTATTCAACTCCTGTCTACCACCGTTTATAAGAACACTTGTGTGAATGCTTTTGGTGACAGCAATAGTCATTTAAAATATGACTCAAATTTCATGGCCTCAGATTTCCTATGTTATTTAAATGTTTGATCGCTATAATCTCAAATACAGCTTTTGATAAACTGAGGTTCTGCTGAGGCCCTTTTAGAGATATGCTTCTTAAAAGCCAGAAGTTTACCCAATACATGTAATACTACTGTCCATAATAAAAGCATGGCTGCTATCAAATCTGAAAAGAGACTGATTAAATCAAAGCTAATTAACGTGCCTTTTATGGGAGCCAAACAGTTTCCAAAATGATACAGGAGATGTTTTTCTCAGATGTTTTATATGCTGGGATCCTCAGGAAGATTAGTATATGGAACTGATGTGACCTGTAGCCAGCAGAGACTGTCAAAGGAACTTGTTTACTTTGGAGATTTGTGGGCACTTTGTCCATTTTAAATGTTTTTGGATTTTTATCTCAACTTTAGCTAGACTGATTTATTCATTTAATTTGCCTTGTTTCCTGGCTAGTGAAACTCTCACTGATCATTTTATTACAATTAGTTCCTTTATTCATTTCTTTAAAATAGCTTTATAATCTTTTGGTGGAGGCGGGATAATTTTAGATTTACAGAAAAGTTACAAAGACAATGGAGTTGCCATGTACCTCGTACCCAGTTTCTCCTAATGTTAACAGCTTATATGATCATGGTGTTATTTATCAAAACTGGAAAAAAAAATTGACATTGCTACATTACTATTAACTAAACTCTGATCTTTATTTGGACTTCACCAGTTTTTGCTTCAATATCGTTTTTCTGTTCTAGGATCCAATCCAGAATGCCACATTGCATTTAGCCGTCTTATCTCCTTAGTCTCTGCCGATCTATAACACTTTCTCTTCTTTCCTTTTTTCCCATGACCTTGATGGTCTTGAAATGTATTGGCCAGGAATTTTGTACAATATTCATCATTTTTGAGTACATGAAAATGTGTAACTGCTCGGATTTTTGAAGGAAAAGCCCATGTAGTCTAATCATGATTTGCACCGATAATTTTTCATCAACACACAAGTTTGGGCCTGGTGATTGTCACTGTATCTTCCTATCTAGAGTATGTTATAATAGCACCCTAGAATTAAAGGTTGATGGATAATGAATTTAATATTTGTGTAGTGTTTGCCTTACCTGTGATAATTCTGTATTCTCAATTTCCCCAGAGTTAGTTTTGGTTGTTCAGTTTAAACCACATAGAAAGTTTGCACCAATATGTATTTTATCTTTTATTTGTGACAGATTAGAGATGGGCAACCAAATGGTTACGTATTGAAGAATAAAGATTTAGAGCAAGCTTTTAAAGGAGTTATTTACTTAGAGATGGACCTCATATATAATCCGGTAAGTCTAAGTGGGCCAAACCTCCCAACTTTTCTCTACCTAAAAGAAAAGGTGGTCAACCTTAAGGGACTCAAATCATTGCAAACTGTTTCATATTTCTTACAGCTAGAGAAAGGAAAGAGCAGTGTTTTAAAACTCAGCCATAAAATGTGCTGAACATCCCAGCTTTCAACTGGTATTAACCCTGTTCAGTCAGCAGAATTGATGGGGTTTAATTCTCATAAATTTAAATGTCGAGGAAAAAATAAAGGGGAAAATTAGTTTTATGTGATCTGTATATTATATATAATCTACAAAATGTAAAATTCTCTATTTAATCTATATATATATCTTTATAATATGTAATAAATACTATAATATATGATGTATAATAAATTACATGTATATTTTCATGTGTGTGTATATATATACACACACATATATTTTCTCAAATTCCCAGTAATGCTAGAAATCTGGGCACAGTCTCCAGTATAAGGGCATGTTGTTCCTTCTTCTCCTTCCCATTCTCCTCTTCCTTTAAGGAAATCATATGTGCATGTTACAAGACAGATCACCCTCATCTCCTGATTTCTTCTGGCAAGCATTTGTATATAGATTATGCACACAGGTAAAAACCTAAATGTAAGGGAAAAGAGGAAAATATTTTGGTTAAGTGATTTTTCAGTTATCCATCTGATGTAGAGGAGAAGGACTTGAATTTGACTCTGAGATTTTCCCCAGCCTCATTTGCTAACCTGTATAATGGGGAAAAATGGCTCATCTGCTTATTTTTCCAGGTCCTTGAAAGGAAATGGGATTCTCTTTGGAAAGGGTGGGTGTTTTTATAAGCTGGAACCTGGTATTCAAATGCCAGGTATTATTGGTGAAAGCTTAATTGAAAAGGATGTGAGAGGGAAGTTTTATCTTTTAGAGACATTAGTTTGAGGACTTCCTGAACCTCAGTCTCTGCAATAGTTTAAAATACCTCTATGGAATTAGCAAAGCGGAGACAACACTCTCCCGGCCCCGGTCTGACCTGCACCAGGGACTCTCATGAAATGAGATGCCCAGAAACATGTGCAGGGCACAGGGGTGGCCGCCATTTCTTGGCTCCCTGCCAAAGGCCACAAGGTCAGAAGATATTGGCTTGCGCCTTCTTCCCAGTCATTAGGAAGAAAACAAGAATGAAGTTCGTATAAATGCTGCCCTTTTTAATGGTGATGTCTTTCTAGGTCAAAGCAAGTATTAGGACCTTTACTCCTAGAGAAAAGCGCTTTGTTGAAGACAGCCGCAAGCTGTCCAAAAAGGTAGGTGGGTACAGTAAGCAGCTTGTTGGTGCCCTCAGCGCCCAGACAAGAAGTACATAGTTGTCATTACTAGCTTCTCTTTTTCCCTTTCTCTCCTTCTCTTTCCATCTCTCAGCTTTGTTTTCTTTGTCCCCTCCTCTCCCAAAACAAGGACTTCAGCCAGCTCCATAAAAAGGAGAAAACTTAAATCATGCCTCTTGGATGAAGCAAGTGTCAGCCCTTTTACTCTTGAATTATTCCATGAATGATTGCTAGTGTCATGACTCCATAAATGTCTTCCTGAATTGACTTGTCTCTGTCTCACCTCTACCCTCCTTTAATCGCAGCTCTTTCCGGCTCTGCCCTGAAGTTTCAGGGAGGTGTGTTCTACCTGTGCGGTCAATGATGGAATTAGCCCATCAGATCTGTAGAGACTTCTGGCCTTTGGTTCACCCAGTTTTGTGCTGAACATTCTTGAGACAGGCTACTCCTTCCACTTTTCTGTTGTCTAAATTTGGGGTGTATTGGCATTTCACCCCATGTTGAATTAACCATCTCCTCTTCAGCCTGTTGCCCTTAATTTTAATTTCTCTCTCATTGGTTCAACAAAAAGTGAAGATCAGGCCCCAGCAGGGAAAATTTCACATTTTTTTTTTTTTTTTACCATGACCTTTACATTTCTTTTTCAGTGTCCCTCCCTGTCATACCCCGACACAGTTCAGGACTTCACTCTGTACCTATTGTCCCACTTCAGTTGTGTAGCAAAGAACAAAGTGTCCCCTTTTCAAAGTGTTTATTACTTCCCACACTTCCTTTGGGTTAGCAGCTGTTGATTACATAAAGTAGTTAAATATAAAGGCATCTTATCATCCTTTTGTTTCCCATGAACTTCGGGGCAGACATGGGAAAGGTCTTAAACATCTTCTGAGGGGAAGCCTCCAAACGTTTTATTTCGGTCTCCCGTAACATTGAGTGTAATATTTATTTTCTGTAATTTGAGTAAATGTTTTATTTTATTATTATTATTGTTATTGCCTTTTGCTCTGTTTATTTGAAAGTTAAAACCTGAGTTGAGGAAGGTGGGGTAGCTGCTTTGCAAACACATTGAAATTAATCTGCCTACCACTGGGAGAAAAGACATTTCCTTGGCAAAATAAGGCCTCCATGTGGGGTGGCTTTGGTGTTCTGAGAGCACCAGGGGATTTGGGGCTAAAATCCTGGGATATTCTAGGACCTTCCCCACATGCCTTTCACCACTTAGCGTCCCCAAATTTTCATAACGTTGAAATATTTGTTTTATGACACAAATACTTAAAAGCACTTACCATGTGACAGGCACTTTTCTGAGCCCTTTAATTCTCTCAAGAACTTGTAAGGTTGGAACTAATATCTATCCTATTTTATAAGAGTAAGTTAGGTAATTTTCCCAAGGTGAACTGAATTCCTTTCCCAGAACTATACTTTTTAAATAGATTTCTGGACTGCATAAACTATAATACTTGTATGTTTCTACAGTAAATCTATCCATTTGCTTCCAAACTATACAATATAGACACTCATTCCTTCTCCCTCCCCCTCCTCCTTCCCCCTCTCCCCATCCCTCCTTTTCCCTCTCTCCTCCTTTCTGTCTCTCAAATACACACGCACAAATTCCCACACAGAATACCTGGCTGCTGTAGCCTTCACCAGCTCAATTTTGGGCTGAACATTATTGAAACAGGCTATTATCAAATAAGTACTAAAATGCATTGGATTTTCTTTTTCTCTATGGGCGATAACATTTTAAAAATAGTTTTAAAGGTATCGGGTCTTTTCCTTTCTATTAATTTTTTAAAAATTGGCAGCTCTATAGAATATAATTTAAATGAGATTAGGCTACCTGATCTAAAGGGACTATTTGGAGCATTTAAATCTAGTTTCTTGTTTTCCACTTTTTTAAAATCAGATCTTATCAAGAGATGTAGACCGAGTGAAAAGAATCACTATGGCAATATGGAATACAATACAGTTCCTTAAAAGCTGCTTCCAGTGGGAATCCACATTAAGAAGTGCAATAGCATTCGTGGTAAGCTTCCTTTTTTAACGTTCAAATTATTTGCTTATTGGTATCCATTCATCTTTCTGAAATGTGTTACAGCACAGGTGATTATGGGAGGTTGTCTTTTTTAGACTATACTTAGGTCAAATATACCCTTGGAAATCCCTTAAATTATCCACATCTTACTCATATACTATCTCTTGGTAAGTTTAAGATAGCCAATGTTCTATATATTTTATGTTTCTTTAGTTGCTCCTATAGCCACATTTGTATTGTCCCTGGGTTGTGTATATTTCTCTCTGTCTGTGCTAGTGACTGGCAGTAATTTTTGAAAAATAGCTGAAAAATCACATGACTAAATTATAACAGAATTGCTTTAAATTATGTTTTAAGAAAATCATCCACAAACTTTGATATTAAAAACATTTATTTGTATCAAGTCATTTGGAAGATACTCATCCCTACAATTACGATTTGACTCAGCACCCCAAAGGAGAACCACTCCTGTATATGAAATGTACTCTTTTCTCTGATAACATTGGCCCATGTTTATGAGCATAACAAAATCACAGAATCAAAGAGCTGCAAAAGATCTTAAAACCCCCTAAGTCCTCCACCAAGAGTCCAGGAATCTTAGAAGGACTTCAAAGTTGGCACAACCACCTTACTGTACATCTCTGGGCATTCTCCCTCATATGTGAAGGGACTTGTCCTTCATCAAATTGGTAATGTCAGCCATGGGAAGAGAAATCAAATATCCTAACTGAAAATCCTTGTACATTGATATTACACCATTACTTTCCGTACTGTGCAAAAATCACTATGGAGACTAATATGAGGTATGTGAGTGGTCTGAGAGTGAATATAGGTTATGATCGTTGGTGAGTCTGCTTTTTGCATTTTACGTGGTTCTGTCTCATTTTTTCTTTTGTTGATATATCCTCAATGGTCTCTCCTAGCGCACAGGTTTAGCCTCGTGTCAGATGAAAGCCCCAAAACCCAAGATGTCAATGGGTTCAAGGTCATTCCCACCTTTTTTATACAACCAAGTATATCAGCACCATAAGAGGCTTTCTCTTTGCCATTGGGGAGCATTTTGTTTGGTCTAGTTTATTTTCATTTTCCATGGTTTCAGTATAGAGGACCTATGCTGCCTGCAGGCTTGACCCTTAATATACTTTTTCTGCTGTCTGAAGTTACTAAAACATTTGGCCTTAATAAAAACGTTGAGAAGGATTTTATTAATCCATATCTGTCATTGTCTTGACATTTATTTATCCACTTCCCTTTCTCACGTTCTCGGCTGGTGGCTGCATGTATTGGATTCCTCCTCAACCTCCCCAGCTCCACTTCCCACCTGAATTCCCTTTCAAAACTTTCCATGGAATGTTCAATGCAATTCTGGGCAAAAGAGGAAAGTGAACACAATTGGTGGCTTCTTCCAGTCAGCACCCCAGCCAGCCGCTGCCAGGAGGAGAGGATTTCCTCTTTCTCGAGTTTAGTTTCTGGCACTGTGCTTTTAGAAAAACAGAGATCTGTTGCCCTGGATTCTGTACGGGGATGACAGAAATGATTAATGGGCTGCCTGCCTGATCTGAAGAGAGATTAGAACAAATGAATAGAAATAGGTTGTCTAATAGAGGAGACTTCTCAACGGGAAGGGAGCCCTGGCAGTGGGGCTGCTTCTCCACTGCGTGTTCCCTGAGGGATTCCTCCCAGCTGGGGGCCACTTTGGAGAGGAGACCTCTGCCAGTCTGGTGAACGCTGACTGCCACAGTGTACTTTCAGGTGTCTGAGGCCCACGGAAAGGAAGATCAAGGTGGTGGTGTTCTTGCTGGTTTTCCAAAGTGTGATTGTGCAAGGATGCATGGGTTAATGCGACTGTAGAAGTTGTATGTGTGTATAGGGGACATTTCCCACTAGACATCATTGCAAAAAAAAAATATAGAGTCGACTAAAAATGCTGTATACATAAACTCTGCGTTTTGTTTGTCCTGAAGGTACTGGAGTGAAAAGTACTCACTTGAACAGATTTTCAGTTTTAGTTTGAAACTCTACTTTCAAAAGTTTATACCATATATAAGTTGACCAGCCATGGTCGATCTCAGAGATACTTTAGACATAGCAAGATGGATAGTTCCCTTCCCTAAGCTGATGAGGTATAATTTTATTAAAAACTGTTTTTGTTACTCTTATTGTAATGGTCATTCCAAAACCATTTCTGCTATTAAAGTAAGAGACTATAAAGAAAATGCTTTTCTAGGACAAAATAGGTACCTCTTCTGTTTTTTTTTTTTTTTTTTTTTTTAGTAAGACTGTAGGTAGCCAAGCCTTCATTTGTTGGAAAACATTTTGTGTTCATGGATCTTGCCTGTAAACTTGCCAGCTGTCTGTAGAGGACCGATGGGGGGTTACACAGCTGGAGACTGGCACTGGCTGTAGTGCTGTGCCCCTGAGTCTTTCTGAAAAGTGTTAGATCTTTGGGTAACCCGGGCCATGGAGAGAGGTAGGGAGGCTGTGAGGCCAGTGTCCTCTGCCTTTCTTCCCTTGCAGAGTGCCACGTTTGTCAGTGGGCGTTTACACGGAACGAGGTTCTCCTGTGATCTGTTGAGGATGGAATGCTGCTCGGGGTCTTTATTCATCATTGTGACACTTTGTTCATGTTCCAATGGCTCACCTTGGCATCACAGGGCAGAACAGTTTGGTGGTAGTCTGAGCAAGGTGGTGAGCCAAGGGTTTATCAGATGATCAGACTGCATTTGAAGGCCCTTCTCCTCGAATTGAAATTAGGACAAGTGTTATTTGAGGTTCACTGCACAGGTGTGGGAGGAACCATTTGGGCTGAGCCAGTCCTCAGTGGGGCGTTTCTTCCCACAGAGATGCAGGAAGTGATGCTCACACTGCAAGCTAAGGGCAGAAGTGAAGGGATTTTTTTTCCTTCTGTTTTGTGAGAAAATGTAAAATAGTCTATTAATTTCATGTTCTGGTCTCAATTTCCAGAAGACACAAAACATGTATGTTGTAGAATCATGTTTAGTATATTTTGACTGTTAATTGTAAGACTTTGTGAAAGGAAACCATACGTTTTCCGTGGATGCTTATGTATGTGCGCATGAGCATAATCATATCTTGTTGGAAGCGGCAGTTAAAGCAAAGAAGCCTCTTAAGATCTAGGTCCACGTGGTGTCTAGTCAGCAGTGGATGGATGAACATGAGAGAGTTCATCTTGTTGGACTGTCCAAGCATCAGCCTCCTGCACCGTAAGAATTATGCCCTCTATACCTACATGGGTGGTTGTATTCCCAACACTAATAGAAAAAAAGATATCTTTAATTCGGTGATACCTGCTATGTTAATATGGTTGCATGCTGTTGAATTTATTGTTATTGTAAGAAACCACATTTAGGCTTTTTTAGGGTGGTCAAACCATTCCAAATTATTTTTGTACAGGCTCAATTTTTTTTGTCAGAATGAATATCAAAAATCTTTCTCCTTCTGTCTTTGAGTCTTTCTCCTTTCCCTAAGTTTTCTAGGTATTTTGGCATGTTGCCTTTTTCTAAGCTTTA